ACGAATCTCTCCTATGCTGCCGCTCGTGGTAAAAGTAAATTATCAGATTACATTCTAGGACTATCAGCTGTTAGCAAATTCATCAGAATCAAAGAGGCAGTTTTCTTGAGCGAAAACTTACCCATAAATCGGAATTCTTGAAATAAGACCCGTAGTATTTTACGACGTATTTGCTGTCACACTGCTGCATGATACTTATCTCCTTTATTATTTCCTGAAAACAATAGATATGGGACAAATGAAAATACCTCGTGAAGATGATGGAAAAACCTTTTTACTCAAACACATGAAAAGTCATTGCCTCTAAAAAAATCATCACTGACTACAGCTCCCACAGAAAAGTACTGCGGTTGACCTTTCAAGTTGTGCTCTCTACAACAAAATCCACTAAGCATTACGCTGTAGCTGTTAAGCTTGGGAGACATATTAGCGCCTTCTGCTCAACTTTGCAGCAGTCGCTTCAAGTCTTAAAGAGAGAAAGTTTAGAATGTCTGATAACTACAAGGGGAACAAAAACGAAAGTGACAAGAAGAAAACATTTGCGAGAAAATAACGTAAAATAATTAGAAATGCAAAAGGCAAAGGATTTGCGTAAAATATCGGAAGCTTCTTCAAGAACTTTTGCAACATCCTGACGCAAAATGGTAGCTAAGGAGATTAAATCGTTGGTTAACAGCGGTCTACACAATTAATCTTCACGATTCAATCCAGTCAAGAGACTATTTTTCGAGGATAACCGTAGCATAAAGCTGAACAAAGAAAACAACGTTACCTCTGCAGCTCCCTTACTTAAATCGCTTATTTTTCAAGATGTTGCTCTTACACTAGCATAGCTCAGATGAGCTTGTACGTCTTTTTGGAAAATATATACCCTTAGAAAAAAAATAATCAAGTGATTGCTGTACGTCAAATGTGTAGCAATTTAGCAGTGACAATAATCTCATCACGAAATTCAGAAAAAACTAAGGCTTTCCACTCCAGCTTCACCAACCTGCAGATCCGTATCAACAGGGACTTTTTTTATAGCCAAGGTATGGCCAGATTCTCGGTGGACCGCCTTGTGAACTGATCCATATGATCTAAACAAAAAAGCAGTTAAGCACTGTAAACGGTCTTCTACACTGTTATCTACTCATCCTCCAAAGAATTAGAGAGACCGAATCTTTCTCATTTTACAAAATTTTAAGCAAGATTCTAACATTTCAGCCAAGTCAGAAGAGGTAGATAAGTGCAGCTAATAGATTCAATCAGTCCTTTAATTTTGGAAAATTGGGAAATAAGGAATATTTTAGAAAAGCTGAAAGGATGACCGCCTTTCTTATTCCACCTTCACTGTTATTGTTTCATTTCGACAATTCTAAGGCAGACAGAGCAGATTTGCATAAAGGTACTCTGCATAGTATAACTTCCTAATGTTCACGTGGA